CTACAGGGAAAGCGAGATCATTGTAACAATGGGTTAGGAAACCCGAGATTAAAATTATTCAGGGACTGTTCTCACATACTATAGAGTCATTTTATTATCTTTGTATCTTCTTCTCATAAACCTAAATATTCTCTTACAGAATTTCTGCCTCTACTTCTCAAATTCAGTACCTTGAGGTGATGCTTCCTGACATATTGTCTGTTATTAATTGTCAGGTGCATACGGAAACTTACCCCCGATGAACAGATACATATGGACAAACTCAACCTCCTCAGTTGAAATAGTTTACAAGTGAAAGAGGTTTTGATTATTTAGCTGCATCCACACACCACCACTTGATTAAACAGCGCTCCACCAATGCAGGCAGGTGCATCGTCACAAAAGCAATAGCCAGGACAAATTATTATAGGATGCAGTATTTTTATATTAGATGCCTTGCTGGCTTTGTTCATCAGTGTTTGGTACATCCCCTCCTCTCCTCGCCAAAGAAAGGGAGCATTAAAAGAATTTAAGCAAAATTTTAAAATGCAGCCAAGATATACATATATCCATTTCCTATCTCAGAAACACAAAAGATGCCACTATATAAAAGTTTATATCAAAGCTTTGTACACCACTCATAACACAAGCCTCAATATTTAAACGTATTCACTACAGCAAGTAGTAATTTTTCTCTCTGAGGAACAAAGATGGCAGCTGACTAAAAGGGCACCTTACTCAAACAAAGTGGTACATGAAACTTGCCATGACATATGACTAGCCTGAGTGGTCTATAAGGGTACCTGAAAGATACAGTTGCCATAAGCAGAATCTATTTACCTGTTCTGTAAGATCACTGATGGAAATATGTTTTTCCTGTTTAGAGGCTGTTGACACTAATGGTGAGACAACAGTTAAGATAGAGAGGTGAACGCTGACATTCCTCACTCAGTAACTGACAAGGACAACCAACCATCTTGGATGTGACTGATACCAGAGCAGAGATGCAAAACTAGATTTTGTAAACTGTCATGGTTTAGCCCCAGGCAACGAAGCACCATGCAGCTGCTCACTCCCTCTTCCCCCCACCCCTCCAGTGGGATGGAGAGGAGAAAAATGTAACAAAAGGTTTGAGGGTCAAGACAAGGACAGGGAGGGATCACCCACCAACCATGGCCCCAGGGCAAAACAGACTGGACTTGGGGACAAATCAATTTAATTTGTTACTAATCACATCAAAGAGGATAATGAGAAACAAAAGCCAGATCTTAGAAACACCTTCCCCTCACCCTCCCTTTTTCCCGGCCCTACATCCTCCCTGCCCAGCAGCACAGGGGTACGGGGAATGGGGGTTGTGGTCAGTTCGTCACACGTGGTTTCTGCCACTTGTTCCGTAAAGCGGGAGGACTTCTCACACTCTTCCCCTGCTCCAGTGTAGGGTCCCTTCCCACAGGAGATAGCACAACTCTCCAAGAACTTCTCCAACATAAGTCGATCCCACAGAATCCAGTCCTTACCCATCAGACTGTTCCAGCATGGGTTTGTCCCATGGAGTCATGGCTTTTTTGGGGGC